TTTTTATTGTGTTTTCACACACATATTGTGTGTGTGTGTGTGTGTGTGTGTGTGTGTGTGTGTGTGTGTGTGTGTGTGTGTGTGTGTGTGTGTAAGTATATTCAGGTTGAATTAATGGTGTTGATTTTTTCATCACAACATTTTTTGATGTGGATAATTTTCTGCTAAAACAAAACAAAAATTACAACCCGATTTATGATTTGACAAGATACTGGATACGTACAATTTACAAAGTCTATCATCGTGGTTAAAATAGTGAAATAACATATACATAATTTATCAATAAATTTCCATAAATGATTCTCGTGTCCGATGTCATGTTTGATCAAATGCGTGATTTAAATTATCGTCTGGCAACTACAAAGAAGCGAAGAACTATTAATCCTTACCGATTTAAACTTTACTTTGACTTTCAACAAATATAATACAATAGCTACTTGTGTAACGAAATTAGTTCATAAAATATTAAAATGCACAATACTCAAAATACGTTATACATTTTAAAACAAACAAACTCGCTTTTTCTTTTTCACTGTCAGCTGTAAGCCTGTTCAAACATGCCTTTTGGTCTCACTTGTTCGGACGCGTTGGAATGTCGATGAACATAAAAATTTAATTCATCCTTAATTGATTTATTTACATGGACATTATTTTGCCGGAACAGTGCAGCAGACAAAATAAATATTGTCACAATTGACGGGACGTCATTACTCGGGAATATGTCACGCCCGTTGCGTGACACTTATGAACTCACAAATGCCAAGAAACGTGAGATAAATCCGTGAGAAAACGAAAATAAAGTGCACGATTGGTGCGTCTACACAGCCTGCAAAACGGGTGCTCCAGTTGCCCACGCAGGGGCAGCCTTGAGCCTGAATGGGACTCAGCATGGCCGAGTCAAAAGGAGGGTTGGCGTGGGGATCGCTCGGAAGACACAGGATGTTCGGGACATCACCACCACGCCACCCCATACTCATGAAACATGTATACAGTTCAGTGTTGATTAGTCCGTAAATTAAATGCCGACAAACTGATAGACAGATAGGCAGACAGAAAGACAAAAAGAGATAGATAGATAGATAGATCGATAGATCGATAGATAGATAGATAGATAGATCGATAGATAGATAGATAGATAGATAGATAGATAGATAGATAGATAGATAGATAGATAGATAGATAGATAGATAGATAGATAGATAGATGGATGATGGATGGAATTAATAACAGTAATGAAGGTGGTGTTTGTGGCTCAAGGCTGCCATTTGTGATGACATAATAATCCTATACACTGTGGATGTAAATGTATCCGTAGTGTTCTCTTGCTAGAATACTAACTAAACAATAGTAATACAGTTTCAAAGGAGTTCACTAAATGCAGGTGACAATCTTTGGTCCAATCTTGAGCTGTCGTGGTGACACCGAAAGTTCACGAGGACGCGTTATCTTACAAATGGACCTCATTACGGATTTTTGAAGGTGAGGAGAAAATGAAGAAACCATGTAGCGCTGGTGGCGTGGTCCCACCTTCTGGTCGCTCTGTCAGCCGACGGTTCCTTGCTCTCCTCCGCCTCCTCTTTCCCTTCCTCGATTTCAAGTCAGAGTCCGGCTCCCATTGGAGGGTGGCGCGCCACGATCCCGCCTATGGGCGCACGTCACCGCGCGCTATAAGCATAAAGCTCAGGCTGGCTGCAAGCGCAGTCCGCTTGATACTAGAGTTGAGGCGCGAGAGAAAGCGCGAGAGAGCCGCATGAAATCTCTGCGGTGCAGAGCTGGAAAAAGCAGCTTCTCAGCGAAAATCAGACGCCCTATTTAATCTGCTCACTTGCTCCCTTAATTTTTTCCTGGAGAAAAAAAGAGGACTTACCAAGAAGTTGCAACGAGGACTGGTTCCCGTCTCGGCGAGCAAACTTGGTATTTCTTTCCTGTTCTTATTGATGTTTTGAAAGTTGTTGTGAATGCACATCTACTGAAGGGACTGCTTGTGCACAGAGGCCGCTTGCTTTCGTTCTCCCTTCTGCCCGGTTGTCAGTGCCAGAGCAGAAGTCTACATGATGCAAACAGTGAGCAGAGTTTAGTCTGAAAGTTTTTTTGTTTCCCCCTCCTGCGCTTTTTTCCTCAAGGTATTTCATGCTACAGCAAGTCACCGCGCAGCGCTGGATGAACCAAAAGAACAACTGCATGAAACAAGAAAGGAGAGAAGAGACGCTGATTCACAAATCCGTTTTGGCGACGCTCGCAAGCTCATTTGCGTACCTGCAAAAGAGTCGCGACGGCAGCATGAGCGCAGAGTTGAGCATGGGCCCGGAGTTACCCAGCAGCCCTCTGGCTCTGGAATATGTCAACGATTTTGACCTGATGAAGTTTGACGTCAAGAAGGAGGGTTTGGCCGGCCTGGAACGCGGAGGAGTGCGTCAGTGCAACCGCCTCCAACCGCAAGGCTCCGTGTCGTCCACGCCGATCAGCACGCCTTGCAGTTCGGTGCCTTCGTCGCCCAGCTTCAGCCCCACGGAGCAAAAGAACCACCTGGAGGAGTTGTACTGGCTTCCTAGCGGCGGCTACCACCAGCAGATGGACCCCCAGACTCTCAGCCTCACCCCCGAGGACGCAGTGGAGGCCCTGATCGGTGCCACGACCCACGGCCATCCTGCGCCGCCGCCACACGTCCAGCAGCAGCTGCAGCAGCAGCAGCAGCACCAAGGCGCATTCGAAGGCTACAGGGGTCCGCATCACCACCACGGCCACCACGGCCACGGCCACGGCCAGCCTCACCACCACCCGTATGCGGGGGCTATGAGCCACCACGCCGAGGAGCTGTCAGCTCACCCGGGAGCGCACAGCCACCCGCACGGCCAGCATCATCATCACAGCAACAACAACCAGGACCCCGACAGCCCGTCCCCGGTGTCCCCGGAGGCCCACCCGACGCTCCACCACCACCGCCACCATCACCACCACCACCACCACCATCCGCACGGCCACTTGGGCCAGTCGGCGGCACAC